ATGCCAGGCAGCTTCAAAATTTGATAAATGTCCTTAGTGCAGAACCAACTGCCACTAACAGTGTGAACTCTTAAAACATTCTAAACTTCCCAGACCACCCTTGTTCTAGCATGATTTTATACCCTAACTATTAGAATACCGCTGGAGACTTCACTCAGACTTTCCATTCCAGGCCTCCAGGCTCCTAGGCTAGTCCAGAATGTAGCTAAGGCCTTGGAGTTGGGGCTCCACTGTTTTCCAATCTGTCATGCCAGCCACACATGAACACCAAAAGTTTTGCTCGCTTCTTTTGGTAGTCAGAACCTCAGCTCATACTCAGAATCAACTGGTGCACCCAGAAGAGAAAATGGCCTATGATTGTTAGGTCACTTCTGTAAAGCTCTTTCAAACTCTTTTAGATTTTACATAATCTAATTGTAATTTTTGTCAAGCTCTTCAGTTATTATTATTGATTGGTTGATTGCAGTGGGCCTATTGCAACTTACTCTATCCAGAATCTCACTTCAATTCTTTAAATCTTGGTTTTCTCATTTTCAATATGACTCCAAAACATTGTTCTTTTTTAAATGTTTATTTATTGATTTGAGAGAGAGAGAAAAAGAGAGAGAGAGAGAGAGAGAGGCATCGATTTTGTTGTTCCACTTATCCATGCATTCATTGGTTGCTTCTTGTATGTGCCCTGATCAGGAATTGAGCCCACAACCTTTTGGTGTAATGGTTAATGCTCCAACCAACCTAACCACCTGGCCAGGGCCTAAAAATTGTTCTTGATAGCCCTTAAGGTCTTAGAATTTCCACTGTGAGACTTTTTTTCTTATATAACCGATTTATACCTGCTTGCCACATAATGATAGTTAACAAATGCATTAAATATGATGAGGATAAAAGATAATGCTTATTCCTGGATTTTAACATCAGTAATTATATAAAATAATTAATTGTAACTTCTGACGACTATCTAGATTTCCTTGTTTTGAGAAGAAATGTAATGAATGTGTTCATTTGCTCTTTCAGGCAGGTTTCACATGAATTTATTTGATCAAATAGGTCATGCCACAATCTGATTTATATTTGTCAGAATTATATTACATTAGCCATCAAATATAATAGTTCTTATTTTTCCCCGTTCTTTCCTATACACAGCCATTTCTGAGCACAAAAAACCACGAAGCTCACAGTTCAGCGTGTCGGTTTCCAGCATCAACTAATGTAGCTTGTGATATTGGTACCAATGTAACTAATGTCTGCACCAATACAGGGACCCTTGGAGACCCGGAATTTCCAAACAGAGAATTACAACATTGTCAGGTAATATTTG